ATATTGAGGTGAAGTATCACTTCATTAAGGAGAAGTTAGCTTCTAGTAATTTTATTTTGCTTGAAACTACAACTGATGACAACCTTACAGATGTAGGAACAAAAGTACTTGTGGTTGGTAAGTTCAACAAATGTTTATCAATATTGAGTATTGATCATGGTTAATTGTTGTGCAGGTATTAAGCTGGAGTGAGCGATGATGATAAAATAAGACCAAACTACTGAATATCACTTGTAATCGAGGAATTCGGTGATGGATGATATATGATCCAAGATAAAGATTTGTGAAGTGGGTCACACCATCCACATGCTACAAGTTAATTGGTTTAGAGAGATTGAAGTGAATTGTGCCAGTTTAGGAGTATTTTGGACCGTAGATTAAATCTAATCATTGGATTTAATCTTGTGGTCAATTCTCCTATGCTAGTCTTGTCACTTTCACTCTTGACCATGGTACAATATTTGAATTTGAATTCAAATGGATTTGGCTCTATAATTACAAGACTTCTCTATTTCTTGCATTTGAACTTGGCATAACAATAATAGAGAAATAACCCAATGGGACTAGTTCATATCTCAAGCGAAATCTTTGATGGCTTCTAGAGGATCTTCCCTCGATATATCCATTGTCATTCCCGTAAAGGACGATGTATGATCTGGCGTGACACAAATCTGAGCTCAACATCATAAGATACTCCATTAGTGGTGTTGAAGAAGTTTTGGGTAGATTGGTTTAATTTTCTGCACTTCAAAAGTTTATGTTTCCGCATTGTAGTTGTAATAATCATTTATATACTACATTTTAAACTCTACACTCTCCACATCAGCATCAGACTCTTAGCCATCATTTGTAGCTTTGTCTGAACTAGTCGTTTCCATGGGAACAAACTTTAACGATAGGCTCGGTCCCTAGCTACTCTTTGAAGCGGCATTGCCTTGGAAGTATTTACAAAGGCTCGTCCCTTATTTATCAGCTCCACACCGATGGATTTCTCAACTATTTGATCTTTACCAAGACAATGATTTGAGGCCAGAAGAAATGTGAAATACAGGAGCAGTGTTCATACCTAAAGTTCTAATAAAAATCGCTAGAATTTTTTCACTGAAGTACCAAAACCTAAAAATATCACTGAAGCAAAAGTAAAAAGGTTTAGAGTGAACTATTTACCTTATATAGATGAGGCCTCTTCAATACCAACCATTGGATCAAAATCAAGATTCATCTCGATTGTCGGATTCCTCGCCTAATGTTGTCCATTTAGCCCCCGTTTGGTCATGATTTTTGACCGTGACTTCCCTAAGTCAGCCGTCATTTTTTACTTTTTCACTCAGAAGTCACTTTTCTTTCCTACGGTCAAAAAATTAATTCTCATAATCACTGCCGAACAGGACCTTAATCTAAAGAGACTTGAGTTGTTATTTATAAGGAGGGCCCATGAGGATTTGTGCATAACACGAATGCTTCAAAACGCTTGGCTTCAAAGTTGAAATGCTTTACACGTTAAATTATTATAATTACCTATAACCATCACTTCAGTTTCAAGAACACACAAAGTCATCACCATTTTTACGCGCACTGCACATTGTGTCATATGCTATGCTATATGGATTAGCCTCTGTTTCAATTCTTCTTTCTAAAATGGTACTTAAACCTTTGCATTAAGAGCTTTAGCTTCTCTTCAAGGCTTCTCCTTGAAATGGGACATAGCCACTGTATTTTACCTCTGTGGCAGTTCTTGCACGTGGAGCCACATGAGAAGTGATTGGTGTGACATTACCTATGACGATGATTGTGTCAAACATCCTTTTATCCTCCTAGGAAAATGTGTGGAGGACATGGACTTATTGATACCTAGGATACAATATTGTGACATAACGAAGCCTGACAAGTCAGTTATTGGGAAGAGGCCATGTGTCAAACATCCAAAGTGTCTCCATCCTTGTCTTTATAAATAATCTGTGTCATTGGAGGGTAATCAACACTTTCGCATTATCACTCTCTAATATAAACTCAACTTTCGTATATTTCCTGTTCTCAAAGTATCACTCCCACACTCAGTAAACTTTACTGATCTTCATGCTAACAAGAGCATTGGGTACATACGATAGTGGTCTCTCCCTCTATTTGTTTTTGGAGAGGCTTCGATCTTGCATGTCTAAAGCGAACATTTCAAATGCACTGGTAGCATACTACGAGAGAAGTGGGGATGGGATCTATTGACCTATGGGTTCCCAATCAGATTTGGAGGTCAACATATCCAATACAATCATTAAATCGCAGCACAACCACTACTAGTGATCAAACAAGTACCTACCTTCAGGGTTTCACTTAGAAACATGACTTTCAGCATTATTTTTTGATAATGAGTTCTGTCATCATTTCCGTTTTCTTCAATTTTTTTTCCCTTAGAAACATTACTTTTTTGTTAATAAGACCTTGTTTAAGCCCCATTTTACCATAAACTTATTTTTAACGATGCATTCTTCAATAAAATAATTTTATACGTAAATTGAAAATTTTTCTTAATATTTAACCACGTATTCTCATAGATCACTATTCAAAAACACCCCTCTCCTCCCCCCACCAAAACAAAATCGGGCTCAAACAAAGGGGTAAATGTGGAGAAACATGGTTGGAGACATTAACGCATCGAAAGTATCATCAATAAACTGAAAATACAAACAAAGCACCCATTAAGTCTTATCTGGAAGAAACCAACAAATACTGAAGCCAAACTGATATTGTCTTGAGAAGTTATAAACTACATATATTCTGGTCTGTTCTTCCTCTGATTTTGATGTACAGTTGAGAAATCTTATCCTTTGTACTCTTCGTTCGTGTTCAATTGCCTTGCTTGTCTTATGGCAAAGAGATGCCTTATTTATATCAAGTCTTGTTATGGATAGGATCTGATCCTCTTGGAACTCTCCTTTTGCTCGTTCTGTAAGGATCAAATGTCTGAGTTAGAGGTGCCGGTTTCTTATCTGTATTCTGGCCCTTCATGCCAACTGCTTCAAGCATACGCGTACTCATACTCTGATTCTTTACCATCAACTGATGATTTTTTCTTCTTCGTTGAGCAAGATCTATACTTGTCGATCCACAAACTTTACTTGGACAAAACACTAATAATCCTAGCCAGAGGAATAATAAGAATTTACCACGAACACAAAGAACCATGACTTTCTTCAAGGAAAAGAGGAATGAAAATATCTCTCTCTTATGTTAAGAATATATGGTGGTCTGAGATTGTCGTCCCTGAGTTCCTATGTTCCATTCCTAGATATATATTATATGAATATATGTCAATAGAGTTTTAGATTTAACTCAATCTTAAATATGCAAATCTAACAATAAAAGAATCTGACTAAGATGAATAAAGGTAACTAAAACAAGACCCTCAAGAAGCTAGGCATCTTTTCATTTGTTTCCTTACATCTCTATAATTTGCTCTCCTTTTGTCTTCTAAGCTCCTGTTTGTTTCCCATTATTTACTCATTAAAATGAATAATATGACCGTTATCCATCACATCAAACCACCATATTTGAAAATCTATCTCTTGTGTGGGAGTTGTAACGACTATATTTTTCATTCTCATTCTTATATTAATATGACTCAAACTTGGTCTAAATAAAAGAGCAATCTAATCACCCTGGACTCCCACCATCTTTCCATATTATCCACCGTGCTTAAATCCCCACGATATGTTAAACTCTGATTCTATTCATCATAGCCCGTCCTAAACTCGAGCAATAGAACTATAGAAGAAAGTTGTGGTAGGTTGAAGATCAACCTAAACTTTTATAGAGAATAAGACTTGGTTTATATTAGCCCTCGTTTGACAACTATTATTTTAAAACTCTTTAATTTTCATATTCATTTTCAACCGCACATTTATACCTAAAATATTTTGCATGCAAACCCATTTTTCAAAAAAATCAATATTCAAAATTCCATTTTTCTCAAAATAATGGCCATCAAACAGGGGTTTTTATAGCTATTAGTTTCGATGATCTAGTAAAGTAAGAAGGAATAAGTCCAAAAAATGCAGCAGCCTCACATTGAAAATGTATGAAGGGACATTCTTTGCTTTATTTTTCCAAGTTGAGGAAAAATACTTATGCACTTTCATTGCATGCTTTAATTTAATACCCCACAAGATTAATTCAAATAATATAAATGTATATCAATCTACAGGAAGAATATATATGGGTGCAGTCTTGTTTGTATCTCATATGGGCTACAAATGAAACAAAGAATCCAATTTGCTTTAAGGGACCAGAGAATTTTACTTTAGTTCATGGCTCCAAATCTTTATACAATAATTGATGCATTGCATGGAACATCACCCAAGATTGGATTTTTAGAATATAAACTGTTAGGTTCAGGTCTCGCACTTGGAATGATTTTAATCTGTTGTCGCCAGTTCAAATATGCACGTGAAAGTAATATTTTTTTGCTTGCCACAATAAATTGTTGTTCAACAAGAATAAATTGAAAGGGTCTCTTCAAGTTTATTAGAACATTTAAAATAACTTCATTCTTAACAATCCGTCGCGTCCAATTCTAATATGTTTTACATATCGCGTGTACGAATACTCAATTAAGGTCTGCAAAATGCCCCTATGGCATGCTAATTACAAAATAAAGCGTTAGAACCAAAAGCAATTGATTGTAATTGTTAGAAATTATCTTTGTCCTTTGAGATTGTTCTCCATTAATAAAGTGATGTAAGTAACACCATAACCAGCCATGCCCGAGAGCTTGAAGGGAGCGACGAGCACAAAAATTGTATTTGAACTGTGGGCGCGAATGGCTCCCTTGCTTGGAGTCTTAGGAGTCGAGCAACTAATGGTATACGTGCAATTTGGGAAATATAATCTCAATGAACACAAAATTCTGGATTTATGGGAAGTATTCTGATACCAAAGTACACAGCAATTGTGTCATTTGTCAAAGTAAAATTCACAACAGAAAAGTTGATGTTGAACTAGAAGACTGAAGCAACAACAGTTTGTAAAATATCAAACAAAGTACATCAAATAAATACAGGTTGATAAAGTTGTGGACAAAAGCTCCTGGAGTCGAATGGTGTATAATACACTGAATAATTTCTCCAAGATAGCTGGTGGAGAGACATCACATACATATACAGATTTAGCACAAGGAGATTTAAACAAAGAAAACAGAACAATATTGTTATAATTGGAAGCATCAACGTTCCTCTAGTACATCTGCATGAAAACAACTCCCAAAAATGGTACAAGGACATTGCGGAAATTGTTATTTGTTAAACATGTTCCTGCACCGGAGAAACCTGTGAAGTGACTGCGGGTGCAGCTGACGCAACTATAAGACCTCTTCTTTGTGCCGATTGTACCAGAATCGCAAATTGCGTTGCTGCCAGTGCTGCCTCCTGCTGTTCCACCAAATCACAAATATAAAAGACATAAATACTAGTTTACATACAAATGCATCACGTTTCAGTATTTCAGACTGAGGGGTTGTATAAAAGGGCCGGCCCAGGCCAGGTTCTCCATGCCATGGTATAGGCTGACCGATACCGACCCATGCCTGGCCCAGGTGCACCCTTTTTTTCCGAGAGAAATAGGAACAAAATGGCCAAAAGTCTTGGAAGTCCGATGGACCAGAAAAACACTTTTTTTTATTATTATTTTTCAAAAAAAAAAAAAGGCTTATGGGCCGATGCTGGTCCGACATGAGCCGCCCAGAAAAAAGGTATGGCCCTTCTTACACCCCTATCTCAAGACTTGCACATTGAGAAAGCAAAGTGATGCCATATTGGCCAGTCACTTAGAATATACACTCACTTGTCTTTGCCTCCGACGTTGCAAGATATTAATGGCCCATATCATGATGTAGCAGGGCAAGAGAAAGCCCACAGCTCGAAGTAAGAACAGCTGTTAAGTAAATTAGTCAGCACATTTCAAAATCATAATCAACACTATCCAAAAGTTGGAATAATGTAGACATATATCAAGTCTACTTACGGAGAAAAAAGTAAATGCATCATCATCTGGACCTCCATCTCCATCTCCATTTCCATCAGCATCAGTGATAGACAATGCATGCCGCAAGAGCAGAAGAGACATTAACTGCAAACCAATAATAGCCCACTTCTATTTTAGATTGTGCAAATCATATACTACAAAAAATATCAACAAGCACAAAAAGTGCAACATGATCACAACCACTTCTATACAGATCTACCATGGTTTCAACGTACCTTAGAGCCATTTTCACCTTCTTTACATTTGGCAAGGCCTAATGTCATTAGTGAAAACATAAAATAGGAGTCGAAAAAGGACAGAGCAGTAATTTAGAATCTCTCCCCTAAGAGGAGTGTTGGATAATGCACCGACTTCTCAAGGGCTACGACATGGACATGCGAGTTAGATCCATCCGATATGGGATTTTTATAAATGTAGGACATGGGCACGTTATTTAAACCCTTTTAAGCCATTGTTTGACACCCTTTAAAATTTTAATATATTTTTCTTTACAACCACACATTCTTCAATAAAATAATATTACACGTAAATAAAAAAATTTCCTTCTTTTTTAACCACACATTGTCCCAAAAAATACTATTCCATAATACATTTTACCAAAATTTCTCTTTATAATGAGTGTCAAACAAGTGCTAAAATTGTAGATATATATGCCCTATCTTTATGTTTATACTTTTTATTTTTAATGAAATCAATTCTTTTCTTAATTTTTATTTTTGTTCATGAAATCTTTTAAATTGGCTGGTAGCACACGCTTCCTGCGCCTGACATGACATCTACTTCAAGCAACACTATATCATTAACATCTATCATCTATTTACTTCAAGCAGTTCTAGTATTGCTTCAGAATTTCATGTTTCAAATTGAAAGTGAACAAGAAACAAGAAGCAAATGGCTAATGGCAATAGCGAAACTTTCAGAGTAAAGGCTTACAATTAGAATGGCTGAACGGCAAAAGGCAGCACCACTGTTGTTTGTTCCATTATAATCATCATAGTCTGCTTCAAACAACTGACGTTCAGCCTCAGCAATTGACAGTAGCCGAGGATCATGCACATCCAGCGGTGTGCCAGAAAGTTGCCACACTCCTCTACAAGAGGGATTAAACAACCAAAATACCATAAATCCACAAACTCGTGAACAAGTATATTTCAAAATTAAAATAAAAAAATAAGTCCTGACTTTGAACTTTTCAAATTATTTGCTTTGGTGATACAAAAATTCTGAAGTCAAGAAAGTAAAGTCTGTACAGATGATGCGAATTTAAAGCATTATACCGAAACTTACCCAATATCTATGGTAGTCTCATCAGGTTGAGGCCGTGGAGGAGCAGTATAACCAGACTGATACGGCTGGAAATCAGAACGAAAATCGTGACATCATGTCAAAATTGCTCACAAAAGTAAATTCATTCCAAGATGAAAACTTTGTCTAGAGTGCTCAAAAGATGAAAACTTTGTCACTTAAAGAGAAGACACCGACTCTATTTCTGTGAATGGATCTAATTACAAGACAAGTCACTATTTGCATAGATGTACCGTCTTTAGTAGATTCTCCTGTAACATGTTTTAGTGCACTCTTACAATGCCCCAGAATTTGGGTGTCAGATGTTTAAAACAAGCGGGGGAGACCTTATTCGTGTCATTGAAAATAATTAATGCAATTGGAAGGATATGCACCAGGAGCACACTCCGGTGTCTACATGCATCAAAGGTGAACTTTTTAAAATGTTTGAACATGTTACTAGAGTTAAAAAAATTATTTTTTTTCAAAGTACCTCATGCCTTCCTATCTTAATAACTCACTTATTTAAGCTATTTCCAACTTTGACCAATGAGAAAATTATTTATCTTAACATTTACTCATTTACTTACGAGTAAACTTTTAAGCTTAGCCAAACATGCTCAAACAACTCTGCATTTTATCTTCTGATACTCGCCAGTTTTTCTCTTAGGACCATCACTTTCTGCTCATTCCAAAACCAGCAGTGAGATTTTTCTCCCACTGGGTTACGTTGGTAGTCGCATTCCATGAATATATCAAAAAGGACTATGTGCAACTAATTAATGTTTCCAATAAACTGTATTTGACAACCTAAACAGTTGGGGTTATTAGAAATGGCTAAATTTTCAACAGAAATGCATGTAAAATAACGAAAATCTTCTGTACCTGATGACAGATCTCACAAGTAATGTCCCCCTTCTCATTGCACCAATGTTGGACACATTTTCTGTGAGCATACTGCAGGAAAAAAATGGATGTTATTTAGATAATTAACTGGCTAAATAAAACAATTATGGCATGTTTGGCAACACGGATTGGATAGAACTGGATAACATTAAAAAAAAAAAAAAATGTTGTGTATCCTATATTCCATTATGGCCTAATATATACCAACAAAAAAGCACTT